CCCATGAAGGAGGAGACGGCATGGTTCAGCGGGCTGCTCGGTGAAACCAGCGAGGTGGGAGAGGAAACAAGCAACAGAGGATTTGAAAGACCGTCGGTAGCAGATTGAATGGGTGCAAGAGAATCCGTCAGGTTTGTGGTTCCGAAAGCCGAGCTCACCAACGTTACAGATGGTAGGCTTACGCAATTATCCCCTGATGTAGCCAAGGGTGCGGCCACCATTGTCGCCTCTGAGGTGGCAAACTGTAAAGAGAGAGGAAGATGGGATATACAAACAGGGCTCTGTCTGGGATTTTTAAGTTTGACTTTGACACGATGGCTGGCAGAATTTTCTTTCTCATTTTAGTGTTATACTACTGACCTACATCTGTACCCATCATTTAACTTTCTTCCTGGTTGAATGGTCTCCATCAACCGACCATGAACAGCGTGTGCTTGATAGTACTGACCAAATAATGAAAAAATAAAAAAATCGTTCAGCTCTAGCACCCTTTTCGGTGCCTAACTGCCATGAAATCCAAAGGTTGCACGAGAGCTGGGATACTGCCAGGTTACTCAAGCCTAGAGAGAAGAAGTCGAGAGGCAGAGGTCGGGTTCTAACCAGGGACCTTCCGGTCAGTAAATCCGCACTCTAACCACTTGCGCCGTCTCGTCCAAACAAAAGGAATTGGTCACGGGAGTAGGTTTCAGCAAACTTATTTGTATCAAATTAGGGTGTTTGGCAGAGTTCAACCTATTTTTCGAGGCTTAGCATTAGCAAAAGTGTGCTAAGGATCATCCGAATGATCCGAAGGCTGTTTTGACGGAAGCCACTATTCAGAAGTTGGCTGAAAACTCTCCAGCAGTCCAGAATGGTTTCGTCCTTCTTGGGGCTCATCAGGCAGGTACAGTCTTCGATTTTCTGCCAAACTTATGTTCTACTTGAGTCCCAATAGGGCCCAATTCGCAACGTACGCTTAGTTACCCACCAGTTAGTTCTTAACGGGAGACGACCTTTCGGCGTGTAACCGAGATATCATCCGAAGGAAGCACGGAGGCTGAGATACTGTCAGGTTACCCAAGTCCAGATAGGAGCATTCAAAAGTCCGCCGTCGGGTGCGAACCACGGACCTCCTGATAAGTAAAATCGCGGTTTAAAAAAGCGAGCCATTCCGGCTTATCGTTTATGGTATTCTCCAACTAAATGTGCCGCACACAGGCTGCTTCATGTTTCAGTTGGTGCAATATTCGAAATAACTCAGTACATCTTCTGGATGATGCGATTGAATGCACTTCGCCACTTGCGTATAAATCGATGTTCAAGGAGACTGGGGAACTAGGCATATCAGAAGAATCCGAAGAAGAGGGGAACCATTAGCCAGCTGCCGGAGAGATTTGAGCAACCTTATGAGTAGTATGTTTCGTCAGAAAACTATCCTGCGATATCTCGAATATCGTATCAACTGAAACACGAGGTGACATTTACGCAGCACGTTCAAATGAAGCTGATCATAAACGAAGGATTCAGTCGATGTTCACTTGAGCCTCTAGGTAAAACCGATATAATTTACAAAGGATTGCATAACTCCGCAAACTCTGCTATATACCATTCAATTTGATGGAAACTAGGGTCGTTATAGGGGGAAAACCGACAGTGGGGTGTCGAACAGTTTTCAGTAGAGTTGGGTCAAGATAGCTGTCATCAGACTGAAGTTCAGAGTGTTTGTAGTAATTCAAATTCATCGGGAAAAACTTCCAGACCATGTGCCTCATATTTACCTAGGCACCGATTCGAGCAGATTAGTATACTGTCGTAATGCACGCTCCATCTGACCCCCTAATTCAGAGCCCAGACTCGACCTGTGAACGGAATTCAAACTATTCAGCTAGTTGGTCAATCTACGAATAACAGGAATGAAACGGTGGAGAGATTGTGAGATAGTCAGTTTGAATCACAGGCTGATCGATGGCCGATCGATAGCTAATCGATGGTTCAGTTCGTTCGTATAGATCGGAAGAG